GGCCCCGCAATTGAGTTGCACGACTGCATTACTCAGATAGCCATCTTCAACCTCCACCACACACGTACGGGCGCTTGTTAGATACAGCGCGTGCAACAGAACTTGCGATGTCACAAACGTGTCTTGTGCGAGTGTCTCTGAAGGATGGTGTACAATCACATGAGTGGAGTAATATTCACGTCGTCACGCTGTAACGCTCATATGCTACTAGTGCACATGGAGGACGAGAACAATGACCTTATTCATTCTCGTCATAGTCATCAAAAGGCCAAGTAAGTAAGGCTCTTTCCAGTTCCTCCGGGTCGTCTTTCAGGTTGTCCACTATGCATTCCTTTGCCTTGCTTGCTTTTTCTTTCGCGAAGTCAAAGTCTTCGTGCGATGTGTATCCGCTATGGGATACACCCATTTTCTCGCAAAATTCTTCCCTAAACATGTTGCCTTCGTGCAATGACTTCCGCATATCTGCTCTCCTCTGCATCTCTTGCTCGGATATGACGATGGGGCATGGCGGAACCGTGCCGTCTGCGGCGGCAGATGCAAACACTGGCCATTCTTCCACAACATCCGCGATACCGATCTGGAGATGAGCATTGTCACCTTGCCACGGAGCGCCGGCATCGCTAAATATCTGACGTGTCATGAAAGTTCCGTCGTGTGTACAAGCCTGCCAATGAGGCTTGTTCAGCACCTGAGTGAGGCCAAGGTACCAGAAATGTATGTGTCGGCGTCGATATAGTTCTTCTGCCTCAGACCGCTCATTTTCAGCCATAGACGAAAGACTTTCCGGTAGTTTGGGCTCCGTAAAGGTTCGAGACTCTTCGTCTGCGTAATTTGCAAATGCCGCTGGTATGTCCGCGGCGAGGAAAGCAGGGAGAACTTCGGAGTGCTGCCAGTCGATGAAGCCAGTGATTTGAAGATCGTCAGATATCAGGATGTTATTAGGAGAGAGATCTGGATGTCGGAGGGTGGGCGAATGCAGTGTCGCGTCTCGAGGTACAAGGTGAGGTACGAGGCGTATGTAGTCTCCTAGCGACTGGACGTGTTCTTGAGGGTCTTGCTTCTTATATTCAAACGACTCAGCGTATTCGCGATAGAATGGGTGTCGCGGCCGTCCATATTTGCGGATCCACGCCAACTCCTTCTCGGAATGACTTCGAAGAACGAGCTCGGGATTAACATCTACATGTATGGGAATCAGTCGAATGTAATACTCGCATGAAAACGACTTACGAGGGCCTCGGTCGACGTTTAGATTCCCACGTTCGCCGTACCACCATTTATGAGATGCGTACGGCCCCATGCACAAGCTGCCATCGGATCCAGGGATATCAACGCGGGGGGTATTGGTAGGCAAGTCGCGGGGATAGTATATGCTGCCACAGGCGGGAAGCATATTCGCGAAGAGCTTGGTTTCCATCAAGACTATTTTGTGTAGAATGTGGCATCTTTCCTCTTGGGCTAAGCTGAACCAGATATCACTGAGAGGCTTTCCTGGTAGTCTTTCCATCAGCATATATTCTACACCGACAGAGTTTTTACCAGTCGAGTAGTCCAGAACCCGAGGTACAGGTATTCCGTTAGTGCGGAGGAAGTCCAGCGTTGCGACTTCACTCGCTACCGCCAGGCGTCGTGGTAAGGATGATGGGTATGGAAGACGGGCAAGTACCGACGAGCCATCATTCATCGTTACTTCGAGTATGCGATTGAAACCGCCTTCGGCGATCTTCTTTATCGCGTGCACATCTGAGGCTGGTCTGTTTAGTGCTTTCGCAGCTACCTTCTTGAGTTCGGAGACGTTGAAGACTAAGCGGCGTTCAGCCATGCGCAAAGACTCGTTGACACTACATGTTCATGTCAGCCAATAGTTGAGTGAGTGAAATGATGTGAGGTGGCATACATCCATCTACCAGAAGTAAACTCGAACAACTCGCGGTGGTCTGTATTCTGCAGGCCGGCATTTGTCGACAGAAACGCGCGCCTGCAACATGAAGACGGGGTCTTGAAGCGTCTACTTCCAACTACAGATGAAACCCGCGCTCTCAGCGGGTAGAATATTTGATGGACAGTTGATGTAGGAACCCTAGGTCTCATGATCGTGGTAATGATGGTGATGGTCGCGCAACGAGTGTTTGCTGTGCACAAGCAGTGCGCGTGCACAGACAGCTACCATCACGACCATCATCTGCAGCATTGCGGCGCAGTATACGTTCTCCACCACCATCGCTGTTCATCGCAGCAGAAAAATGTTGGGCATGGTGTAGGTGCCCTGGGATCGGCGTTGCGCAAGGCACAAAGCGCACAAGCCACCGTTGGCCGCCCCACTTGATGGGCGGCGATGCCATCGTCATTGCTACCAACGGTGGCTCGACTACACCTGACATGCTCCAGGACCTTACGAGAATGCCTCCGGCTTTCTGGAAACTTTCTTCCAACTTTAACAAGTTTATGTCTATCATCAATCACGAGATCTCGTGAGAGCCACTACCGCCGTATGAAGCCGCCTTTTACGCGTCGGATGACGCGACTGTGAACGCGCTCCGATGGGAAGGCTATCCATTAATCCTGGAACCTGCACACGGCTTTATCGCAAGAATTCAACGCGAACTTGACGAATTGACGTGTTGTAGTAAGTAGACAACCGACGACGTGGGTTCCTGAAGCTTCGTCTCGACGTTGCGAGTCCTGAGCTAATGCCAGTGTGGCAGCAGTCCTAGACACACATCGAACGCCCGATTGCACGCGAAGCAGACGAAGAACGACTACGAGTGCGCGCAAAGTCCAGATCTGGCCCACCCGCGGAGGGCCGATACCGCCGCAATGCCGCTTGACCCGATCAGGATCGTCTCCGATTCTCTCGCGATACCCCCAGCAGTGAAGTGGAAGGCACACAATTCTTGACGACACCTACGGGGTATCCGCCGTTGTATTCACTGATATGTGGAAGATATCAAATGCCTATCTCTATTGGTTCACTGAGGGAGCGAGGACTCGCAGACAGACGTGCTTTTGGCAAGTCGGTGGGAGTTTCAGAACTTCGGACACAGCAGGCTCGTCGCAAAGTAGAAGGCTCGTGAGATGCACCATAGCAATGGCACAGGCGGAGGACGAAGATTCCGTCGTATTGGGACTTGTGCAGCCGGAGTTGCGGATACTCAGTGGTGCTGGCGTGAGAGCGCAGTCTGTGATTCATGCGTCTGCTTGCGTTGATGGTACCTATGATGAGCTCAGGAACAACAGGCGCGCCGCAAGTGATAGCATGGCATATTCGATACAGTAAAGCGCTGTCGTGGTGATGTTACATGGCTTTGGTACAGACCGCGACGTTAGCGAGGCGCTCATATCTTTTGCGGCGCAGCCTCATTGGACAACAGTGCCGATATGCTGCATCTCTGCGCTGACGCGGTGGCGCGCCGGGCATAAGCTAGCACTCCAGCCTGGTATTATTGTTACCAACTTTACGACTGTCACCGTTGCTTCCAAAGGCCACTTTTATCACTCTGTCTCTAATATCGAGTTCCTCTCTGTAAATCTACTTATCTTCTTCTTTCAGCACGTACTCGACGCTGCCTGTCTCTTCGTCATTCTGGTATGCGTGTTCATATCTCAGCCTTGGTCTGATCTCCACGAGCCACTAGAAGCCTGGTCGTATGAAAGTCATACGGAGCATACAGAGAAACTGAAAAGGATCAGCAGGTGTTGCAAAGAATAGGCTCGTAAACGTCGAAAACTTGGACCGCAGAGCGAAAACTCCATCAGTGATGAATCCATACAAGTTATCTTGGAAATGGAGCGACCGACATCAAGATCATTATCGTATCGATCCAAGCGACGGATCAACAATTTGGCAACGCAAATCGTCGGGGCCACACACCGCAGACGAGTCAGGGTCATCAAAGATCCACCGCGAGCCCATAGAGGGAGGCGGACCTGAGAGCAATACTCACCTAACCTCTTCCACTAAGATCAACAGCGCCGAGATTCCACCATGGAGCAGCTATCAAACTACGCAGCCTGCGTATGGATCTCCGCATGGATCTCCGCATGGATCTCCGCATGGGACACCGCATATGGCGTGGACCTTTCCGTCACCTTATGTTTATCCCACTGCGCATAATCAGGTGCAGCCTTTCCACAATCAGCCGCAGCCTCTTCACAATCAGCTGCAGCCTTTTAATTTTCACAATCAGCTGCAGCCTTTCCAAAATCAGCCGCAGCCTTTCCACAACCAGCCGCAGTCTCTCCACGGGCCGACTGGAGTCAAAGGCGCACCCAATCAGAACGACAAACATGCGCGAGAATGGATGGGATCTTCGTACCTTGACATCCCAGTACCAAGGGCTTCGGAATTGGAGATTCATCTTCCTAATCACCCTTCACGTAAAGTTCAATCCCTTGACGCTTCCGATAATCTTGGGCACGTTTATGCCGACCTACCTCAAACTCCGTCATCTACGATTCGTGAAGAGGATCCAAGGCTGTCTTTCGAACGATTCCGGGAAATTCAGGAACTCCAGTCAGCTTGGAAAGCTAGGAAGGCCACAGTCGAATCAAGTCGCGGACTTGACAACAGCCAAGATGTCGTTCCTGCTTCCCACAAAGCCCGCTTATCTGCTTGCCTGTCTGATTACATGTCTTTGGAGACATCGTCATCCCAAAACTGGCTAGATATCCAGTCCCGGCTTCCTGGCGACTGGAAGTGGGATGTTGAATACCATGTCACTTATACCAGACACGATGGTCAGGCTGGCTGTTGGACTTGCACTCCTATGGAACCAGATCAGCCGAAACAATATCCCCTCGCCATTGCAAATGCGCCCTTGGTACTTCCAGTGGAGTATCATTGGCCTCCCATTAGCGGAGTGACGCCACCTCCAGATCCGCGACCTGCGGCACCAATTGATTGTCGAGCCCAAATATCACTGGACCTTGTCCAAGATATTTTTCTTACGTTCCAGGGCAGCGTTGGTTTCTATGTTCTGATAAATGGTCTACTCCAGATCATGGTACCAGAGGACTTCGACACAACCTGGGCGTCATCACATCTTCCGCATAAATATGGCGGTCTCAAGGTCTGTTACATTGAACAGATCCTCGAGCCCACCATGTTACCGACAAGGACAGAGACTACCGGGAGGACATTTGACAGATCATCACTCGTACCCTTAGGCACACCGGGCTCATCTCCGGCCGCACGCTCGTCAGCTCAATCCCTCACAAACAGACCGTCGCTAAAGCTGAACGACTTTGTAGAGGCCCGCCCGAAATCTAACCACCGAAATGAGAAATTTTCTGGACGCGTGGCGCTCAAAGTGAGCCGAACTGGCATCCCACTCATATTGATGTCCACCCACGTCATCACTGAAGCGATTCTTGCAAAGTCGCATCGCGACAGCATACTTGGCCGGAAACATGATGAACGAGTCCAGAAACTAAGAGATGATTGGAATGAGCATGTTGAAATCTGGGCTGGCGGTGGAAATGTTAGTATACTGAGCACGCCGATGATACTCGTACAGCATGGCTGTATCATCGTGCACTACTGTCGATGCGCTTTCATGCTAACATATCCATCAGTGCGGAACGATCCACCAAAGCTTTGACCAGGAAGCGAGAATTTATCCGAACGGCTTCAACCACGACATCACTCTCATCAAACCCGCGCATCGGACTTTGGTGAAAGATGTCGCGTCCCCTATCAGCGGTATCGGTTGGCTCAACCACGATTCGTGGATTTCGCTCCGCCAGCAGACGACAACCATCAAGATCTTAGCTGATGCCGAAAGCTCAGAGTCCGCGAGAGGCTCACAGGCAGCAAAAAGCATCAAATGCAGTCGTCCATCAGACATCCTTGTGGTAGGCGAAGGCATCTTCCTGAACCAGAAAGCTGCAGCGGGCAATTCGAAGAGTCTCAAACACCACGATGCGGCAACATGGAAGGATCTCGTGTCACGCGCAATCCTGTACCGTGTCTATCCTGATTTCGACCCACCGAACGGCCATAGCGGCACTGCACTTTATGCGGATGGAACGAGGACCGATGGAACCGAAGGCCCAGGTGTCGTAGGCTTCCAAAGCTTTGTACAGCGCAGTGGTCATGTGCAGAATTTCGAGATGGAAGGTGATGCACTGGAGCGGCGATTAAGAGCTGGCAGAGTTGCGTTCTATGGAGCGTTCGAAGTCCCCGCCGAACTCAAGAAGTACCATATATACTGATCGTAACCGTTTGTGCGATTTTCCGAGGTTATACTGTCGTTGAAAGATCGTGTTGCCAGCGCACCAATTGAAACTTGGCCTTCACCGTGGCCCAAAACCCCCACAGTCTTTGCCTCTCATCCCACTGATAAATAGCGAAAGTCGCAAGCCCAACCGACACGGTGACAACAACCCATATCCATATGTTCAGCTGTTCCAATTCCACGAAGTTCATGCCGAATATCGAAGTACAGTATGAGAGTGGTAGAAAGATGGTCGCGAGTATGGTGAGCTTCGTGACCTGGGTAGCAAGCGTAATCTGTTTCTGCGACTCTGCCAGTGAAGTGGCGCTGACCAGGATCGATATCGCTTCCTGGTAGTGCAACGAAAGCTGGCGGCATCTTGATCGAAGGAATTCAAAGTCGGCCTTGACCGCATCTTTGGCTTCCTGAGCTACATCGCTCTGGTCTTGTGTAAGGTTGACCGGCCATCGAGCCAGCTTTGGTGAACTGATGAATCGGAGAACCTCTTCATGTCGACTTGCGTGGTCATCCAGGAGGTGTTTGTGCATTATGAGTTGTTCCAGATGCTCGGTTGAGTACTTCCGATCCCATTTCGTCGATGCGATAATGTCGTACCATTTTTGAAGTGTTGATAGTAGCTGGATCTCTGAGGCAGCTGCGAACAGGAGGATAGGTGCAAGTGCGTATAGCGGATCTTGCCCTGCGATTTCGTGATCATCAAGCATTACGTGGAGCTCTGATGGTAGATGGGACGCTGTCTGGAAGAGCGAGTCATCGGTGTCTTGCGTGATATCGAGATCGGGGACGGGCAGCGGCCATGGATGTTTGATCGTCGACTCCTGTCCCAGCAAATGTACAGGTAATAAGCGGATGTCTCGGCGTCCTGTTTCTGTCTTGGCCGCCATATACTCGACGAAATGATGGTAAGTGCGGCTATGAGAGAGATTTCTGCTTCCGACATCTGTCCACAAGATTGCTGATACATATGGTAAGCGGTGACGAAACGAAATCAAGGTTTGACAGGTCGCTCACCAGTCCAGCCGCCTCCATTTGACTCAACGGTGATGGACACATCTTGCTCGATGACAAATTGAAGGTTGCTAAGATATGCATGGCCTCTTACATACGAACAGCCAGGAGCTGCGGCCAAACGTCTGGGCATCCACCCAACGTCGTCGGGTAGAAGCCTTCGTCGCGCTTGCAAGATCAAGCTACTGAATGAGTCTGCAGGCAGCTTGTTCTTGCCAAAGTTTCCCTGGGTGTTAAGACGCAGTAGGAGCCCTTTGTTCGAAGTGGCATATGGGCTTCTCGTGATTGCGTGAAGAACAGGCCCGTCAGTCGAGCGCCAAAGATGAATATGCTGCCGAAAGAACTCGGGAGCGATATTGTATTTCGCGCCCACTTCACATATCCAAGACCCTGGAAGATGTCCATTGAGGAAAAGGACCTGTCCTTGCCCTTTGCTCGGAGGCGGAGCTGCGACTAGGTCCTGTAACTGAGAATATTTGTAACTATGACGTTGATACTGCTCAGAGCCATGACAAGGCGGCCCATACACAGATAAATGGCCAAGATGATACGCTTCAAGGTCACTGTATTGCTTGGGTAGATGTGCCTCATCAGCTCGGAGCAGCTCAGCGAGAAATCTGTAATGATAGCCAAAGAAAAGCGTGCGAGTATATGAACGTGCAGCGTAGTTGAGTATATGCTGGCGATAGCCTTGGGCTTCAGGCGATAGCTGCATCTTGCTCGTGTGGCTGGAAGATACGACACAAGTTATAGGCGGTAAAGGATCGGGGAGAAAGGCATCGTAGCAAGTAAGCTTCATCCATGTTAAATAGTACCTTTAGAACACAGCGTGTCAGATCCGGTTTTCGCAACAGCATCAAAGGCTGGAGACAAGCCAGCTGCACAATCATGGTGTTCTCCGTCGCGACCAGTCAGGCAGGCGCATAAGCGAACGCGCACCATGGATCTTCGCAATACCTGCGGGTGGGGGCTAGCCGCCCGTGATACGAGGCTGAATGCTTCCGATGTCGTTCATCAGCGGAACGACCCCACGACTTGTGCGACGCCAAGCAAGACCTGAACAGCGGTCATGAAGACCACGATCGTAGCGAACCTGCATATTGTCAGTTTTATGAGGTGCAACAGTGTTGAGTATCTTACAAGAACGTCCAGAATTGCAAGGTATCGTTACGGTTACGAAACAAGACCCAAATGCTCCATGGCTTCGCCTGCTGCAGATGCTCATCTAGGATCATGATTCGAGACCAGAGGTGAGGGAATATACCAGGTGTCCATGCGATCGGCTGCTGATTTATGGCGCTCATGAGGTGAGGAAGCTTAGGGTCGTATTCGCTGCTACGTTGAAGTCGACTAAAGGCTTGGTAATCGCTGATCGCGCGATTGCGGTATCGTCGAGCAGAACATGGCTGACATGGGCAACATCGCCGCTGTATATAGGTATACCAAGTCAGTGTATGCTCCATATGCAGTTCGTAGAGAAACACGTACCCATAAACCAAGCTTAGCATGAGGACCCAATGAGGGCCAGGCGTTGAATAGCAAGCTGTATGACTCCATGACCTCTTGCGCCAGCTCATTACCGACACCGACCATCCTAAGGGGGGCGGCATCTAAGGCGCATGGTAGCGCGAAGATCTCAAGTATGCGACGTCCGTTGCGGTTCGATAGCAGGAGGTGCCGGGAGATGTTGTGAGTCCAGGTGATTTCCACTGCTCCGAACACAGTCAACCTGTACGCGTTGAGGTGGGTGGCGTCAACAAAGAGCGACTCCAAAGACTCTAAATCTGCCATGGTCACCACAGAGGCAAATGCAACAGGCGCTGGTAACAGGCCGCTGCCCGCTACCAATTCTGCCAAGCTCTCGAAGTATGGCTGGCCACCCAGCAGGCTTCCGTGCATGCGCAGATTGTAGCTTGCCGTCACCATTCGGAGCTTACCGGCTACCGTTGGTAGATCGGTGAACGAGCTCAGTAACAGTGTGCAGCTGCCAATAGCGCGCACTACCGTGTCCTCTTCGTGCCATTGTGTGTTCGGGTGGTTGGATAGCGAGTGTAGCAGCCCTTCAATGCTCCTCTTCATTGAACCAAGGGGCTGAAGGCCATGGAAGTATTGTACTATGGTTATGAGAAGATCTTCGTATTCTGGAGTACCACGAGCATCGTGCTGGTTCAGAAGGTAGTTGATGTACGGTTCGACGGTGTCATCGTTGGGGTAATTCGGGAAGCCCAAGGCGTGCGCGAGGCGAATTCGGAGGGGATCAAGTGGAGGAGGCCGTAGAAGCATGCCCATTGTGTATATTGGGCAACCCGTAAGCCTCGATTACTATGCCAGAGTGAAGGCAATAGATGGCTGAATGCGCATATGGAAGGTTTTCCCTACAAAGGCTGTTCGGCTGTTCATGAGGCTGTGCATCGGAGGGGAGTAGCCCATCAGGGCGGCATTGCCCCTTTCGACCAGGCGGAGGCTGATATTTGGCTGACATGATCATGCATGTGTGCCGGCGCGTAGCGATGGATGCGTGGTGGCAGTCAAGGACCTCGGGAGGAGGAGAGGGCGTCACGGGCTGCACGCGTCGCTTATCGATAAGACACCTCGCGCTTAGGCAACCCGCGTCACAATCTCGCCTGCGCCCATCCACAGACATGACGAACTCACCGACGCGTGTTTCCGAGATTATGTCACACACACATGAATTGAGGATCCTTCCGTGCACACAATCGGTGCAGTTATCGACATGTAATTCACGCGTTGAGTCTAAAACTATCCATTTGCTAACCAACCAACAGGGACGCCGGCAGCAGTAGGCGCAACGGCAAGCCAGCATCCTGCGAACCATGCAGGCTGAACAAAACCAAGTGTGATCATGGACATCCGAAGTGTGATCGATGTCGTCAACGTGGTATTGAAGAACGCTGCTTCTACCACCCAGCACCTCTCACCAGACAGCGTCAGAGTGCCGATGAGTCAGGAACAGGTGAAGCCCGTCCTCCCAAAAGAAAGTATGCATATATTTGGAAATACATTCACATCAGTATTTTGACTCGAACAGACGACCCTCGAAGCAGGCTTCGGATGCTGTTGCCGCTTTTGCCCCAGCGTCTCCATCGCATGGTGATAAACTTGCGGATGCCGTTGCTGCTGATGTATATCACCCTGGGTTCCTCGGGCCTGGCTCGTACGCTGTACTTCTTCCTCAGGATGAAGAACCCGGTCAGATGCGTGAACGCGAGGAGTCTGTTGCATCAGAACGATCAGATCGCGAACTTACACACCAGCACACCCTGTCCAAGTCCATGCGATATCAGATGGCTTGTGACGTTTTGAGCACTCTTCGCCATTACAACGCAATCAAAGAGCTTGTTCTATGGTACAATGCAACGAATGAAGCAGGTGTGATACCTGCCCAGGTTCAGGTCGACGCCGTGAATGCGTTAGAAGCTGTTGTTGACAAGCACGACCTTCGGCGGAAGAAACCCAGTTCTCTGCTAATAAGCCAAGTACTCGAGACAACTGCACGCCCTTTCACAGTATCACAGTCAATGGAAGCACACGACTTTCACATTTTGTGTTCTGGCGATAATTTACGATTCGAAACTATCGGCTTTCTCCTCGCGACGGCCGGGCGATCGCTGACGTTCGGCTTCGTTCCGGATATCTTCAGTGATCCTGCCAACAAGGACATGAAGTTACACTTTGCCGATGAGCTACTTCGCGCGAGTACGACCTGTCTTTTTCTCACAACGATGCTTGCGACAGTCAACGACATAACGATCTGGATGTATTACGAAAACTACCTGTTTACAATCATGATCTGCGGCTACCAAGGTCCACCCAGCTGGCGACGGATAGGTGAACTGTCGACCCAGATATATGCACTGGGTATACATCAAGAGAAGAAATGTGCTCATGCTCCGAAATGGTTGACGGAAACACGCCGTAGGGTTTTCTGTTCAGCGTACAACCAGGACAAGTCGATATCCACCTTCCTTGGCCGTCCGATACGTATCAGCAAGAGACACACTGACATCGAGCTTCCACTCGACCTGGCCGATAATGAAGTCACCGGTGACCAGGCGACCTTGAACTCTGCCATCGCAGCGTTGGACGAAGACGGATGGAATACCAAAGGCAGATGGTTGAGAGCGTCTTGGATCGTAAGTCTTGCACCTAGGCTGGTTTCGTTACCTCAGCTAACGTACATCAGCGTTTACGTCATATATCCCTCCGAAGTCGCGAAGAAATCCTGGAATTCTCGCTCGTTAAGATAGATGCAAACGCGGAAGCTCAGTTACTGTGCGTATGCCACGATGACCCTGCTTTGGCTTCTGTTAACAAGTCTGTAGAGACATATCCGAGCGTGTACGCACTTCCTGGGAGACGCTACCCAAACATATGCGATACTGGAAGACCTGTTGGGAAGACGATGTTCCCACGGTAATCTGTCTGATGCTGTCCATCATACACCTCACGCATTGGTACAACGAGTTCATGATTCAAAAGCTGCTCGATTACAGCCCATTGACGCTCAACACTGCGCTACTGCGCGTCTCTGTTGATCTTCTCTGCAATACACTTACCTTGGGTAGGATACGCGATCGATCATACGACGTTCAACGCGACATGCTCAACGCCCTACTGCTGTTTGGTGTACCCGCGGCGTCGGTACTTGCTACAGCATTGCGCGAACAACACCGAACAGGCCAGCAATTCCCTACTGAGATATCTCGCGCGGAAATCATTCGCATGCTCAGCGTGCTCATATCACATCTTGATTCAGCCGCACACATGGAAAACTCCGGAGCTAGACACGGCGAAGCCAACTACAACCTCTTTCGCAAGGCAAGCAAGATCTTCACCAAGGTCATTGATACAGTCT